TCGTAACTTTGAATGGTTGCTGAACAAATGGTTGTAACTTGAGGACTACCTGTAGATAGATCTTTCTCCAAGATGATCTGTCCCTAACCTGGTCTTTCAGATCTTGCCCTTATCACCACTGTAACTGAGTTCATACACCTTGCTGCCAGTCGTCCTCTTCTTTCCTTCAATCTTTCCCAGCATTAGAGCCTTTTCCAGAGAACTAGGTCTTCACATAATGTGTCCAAAGTAGGACAATTTGAGCTTGGTCATTTGTCCCTCAAGTAAGAACTCTGGATTGATTTGTTCAATGATCCATTTCTTTGTTTTCTTGGCTGTCCATGATATTCTCAGGAACTTCTCCAACACAAAGGTGTCAGTACTACTCCTATCCTGCTTTTTCAAAGTCCAACTTTTGCTTCCATAGAGTGTCATAGGGAATACCATGACTTACCCAATTCTGATATTTTTCAGATCCTAAAATACTATAGCAAATGGTGCTCTCTAAACATCACTTCTCCATCATTAAAGTTGGGGATGAAGGATGAAGCTCCATCATTAAAGTTGGGGATGAAGTTGGGGATGAAGGTACAGAGCTACACATGGAAAAAGTAATGTGTAATTACTATTTTATGTGAATTTTCCTGCCAACTTTTGATTGCTTTCTTTCCATAGTTTTATATGTTGTGTTTGACCTCAGAATTGGTCTGTGAACACTTTTTGTGGTGAATTTTGACTATAAAATGCACACATCAAGAAATAAGTTATCAAAACAACATAGTTCCCCTGTTAATTCACACACTTTGTTATAATGTCTGGACAATAAACCTTTGGGACAAAGCAATTTGGAATGTTTGAGAGGAAGTTACAGAATGTTGTTGATCTCTGTGGAAGGGATATACATTGTATATGTACATGAATGATGGAAAGGCAATAGTATCCTAATAATTTCCCTTACCTAAGGAATCTTAATGTGTTTCCTCTATCCCTAGCAAGCTTTCCATCTCAAGAGTAACTGATGGGCATGGCTTCCGGCCCTTCAATACAGCTAGCTTTTCCAAAACTGTGGAGTCCTTGGTGCTCTCTGAGCTTGGTTGTTAGCTTGCAGACGTTTCATTACCCAACTAGGTAACATCAGTGCCGGTTTGCTCCCTGTTTATATACAGTAACTTGCCCTGCCAGTTTTGGTGGGGAAGTGGTTTTCTCCTTGGTAGTCCCTTGATTAGGATATTGTTTTCTGCTTGATTGTTTGCCTGGTGTTAATTCCTGCTTATCTGGGTGTTGGCTGCTGGAGAGGATGTGTTCTGATCTTTTTGTTTT